CTCCAGATACCGGCTTTCTCATACGCTTCTTATTAGTTCGTTGGCACATTATGCAGCTCCTACAAACCTGTTTGGCAGCGGTGTAAATGCTAATACACCCATAAACCTTTAGCAAAGCATCACACATCGCCTGAGGACCCCAATGGCTCCCTCTATGTAACATGTTCATCAGCTCTCTCATAATAAGCTGGCTGATCATTTCTCTCCCTTCTGGTAAAGTCCACCTCCCTTTCTCATCTCAAGATGCCCCACCTCCTGTAGTTCTTAATCTCCTTCTTGGAAAACTTTGGGTTCAATTAAATTTTAGGGATATTTGGAGTGAGGTTTAAAAATCTAATTTCATCTTCAGATAGAGCCTCTTTAGCAGCTACACCAGCTTTCTGGTGACCATTCACATGTGTTAAAGATATTTCAGCTGGAAGTAAAAGATGTTCCAGAACTTCTTTGATTAATTCCCCATGAATTAATTCCTTTCCTTTACAGTTTATGAGACCTCTTTCTGTCCAAATTTTCCAAAGGTATGGACTACTCCAAGTCTAATATTCTATGAGGTCTGTATAACTATGGCTCAATTCTGACTGGCCTTCAGCATTCCCTGCACATAAGAAGCTGGTTGGATTGAGACAGTTGTCTGTGGTTAAAATCAGGTCATCTTTTTCAAGTAAACTTGCTTCATATTTTAAAATTTGAGAATCTATTAGCCAGTGCCCAGCCCACTGATTAAATAAGTATGGCCCAAACCTGGTGAGGAGTACTGAGCATGAGGGTTCCTTCAAGTTAATTTCCTGCTCTCTTTCAGCAATAAGGTCGTGGCTGCAATGGCCTGAACACATTGAGTCCATCCTCAAGAGACAGGGTCCAATAGTTTAGACATAAAGACCACTGGTTGTTTCTTTCCTCCCCAGGCTTGGGTCAAAACCCCTACAGAGAACCTTGTTCAACAGTAACAAACTAGTGAAATGGCTTCTCTAAAGATGGGAGTGCCAGGACTAGGGTGGTGAATAAGGACTGCTTTCAGTTCCTCTAGAATTTGCAGTTCCCCTGGGGTCCAGGTCCATTGGAGAGGATCTGGCTCTCCCTCTAACAATTGGAAATACAAGCTTCTAGCCTCTCTTCTAACAAACACTTTTTGAGGTTCTCTCAGTAATTCTTCTATAGGTTTCTCATTCCATTCATCTAAATTCTGTAATTTCTTAGAAATATCTGGCCAAATTTTGGTTACAAAATTGACTTTTAAAGGACCCTGTCCTACCTGAGCTTCTGGGTCAAGTTCTGAATACTTTCTCATGTGGTCCCTGAGTCTCTGTGAAAATGCAGTTGGGGTTTCTTCCTTTTCCCATTGGATTTCAAACACCTTAGAAACATTTTGAGATCTTGGGGCCGATTCCCTAATCCCCTTTATAATTAGCCCTCAAAGATCCTGCATTTTAGTTCTATCCCCTAGATTATTATTACCCCATCTAGGATCTACATTTGGGAACTTTTGTTCTGCTGACTGGACACCCTGGCCTGGTGGGTGTTTTTGTGCCCAAAGGGACACAGCAGCTCTCCTGATCACTCCCTTCTCACCACCAGGGAATAGGATATTCATGATGGACATTGTAAGATAAATTCTAGCCAAAATAAGCAGGCAGAGAGACGCAACAAAGGGCCAGGTAGTTTATTTGAGCACAGTTCCTGGGCAAAGTTTCCCAGCCTGCAAAAATGGAGGCTGGGGAAGTTATGCCCAGTAGGGCAGGCAGCAAGTTGTTAAAGAAGGAAGGGGGAGGGAGAGCAAAGGTATACAGTGGTGCGAGGATTGGCTCACCTAGGGTATGTCGGGGTCTCTCATTGGCTTTTAGCCAGGTACTGGACAGTTACCACTATTCTTCTAGCCTGGGGAGGGCTCTAGTTAGGAATGTTATCTGATCATTTCTGGAATGTTGTCAGACCAGAACCTGTTGGTCTCTTCACCTTGTTTGGTGAGGCCTAAGCTTGTCCAGCAGGCTCACCCCTTCCCCTGGTGCCTCCAGCCTTACATTCTAGCCTTTTGGTCATAATGGGTGCTGACTCGATCTGGTTACTTCCAGCTGACAAGGGGCATTGTGGTGGTGGGGTTTCCTAGCATGTAGTTACAAATATCCTGATTTGCTTTCTCTAGAGGCTCTCACTTTATCCTGTCTAAGCTTCTGGTCCTTGTCTCATTTTCTCTCTTCAGGTAGAGACTCTAGCTGCTGCTAGGGAAAAGGGGCGATGACTGCTCTGGCTGCTTCATGCTGAGAGAGGGCACAGTAAAGGGTGCAGCTAGGTTTCCATCACTGGTCAGTTGAGAGGGCCTTGGAAGGTTGGCACTTTTATTCTGGAAGGACAAACTTGATGAGATTAAGAATGCATGGCCAAATATGAGAACTAGAATTATGAAGAGTCTCATTGAGAATCATAGCCAGGTATCATGGGGAAACTAGAATTCTGGATCGAGTCTACATCTCAATGACTAGTATTAGGATTTAGTATAGATAAGACTGCATTATTGAAACAATGCTTTTCTCTAAAACCACCTTCATTTTTATTAGAAGTAACCAGGTTAAGAAAATAAGTAACATTTGGCTTTATTATTTGCATAAGTGCAGCAAGAAGAGCAATTGATTACAATAGGCTTTTTTAAATGTGCTTTGCTGGAACTTTTCGTAAGGAATTTCAGATGGAACTTTTAAAGGCTTCTCGAGGCTAGACAGCCAAGCTAGACTTGCCATCAGGTTTTGCCTGCAGTACCTGTAGATTTGGGTGAATTCTTCTCTTCTCGAGGTCCCCAAGACATCTTGAGGTTCCTGCACCTGCCAGGAAGTGACCTTCCTTACTCACCTGGTAAGGCTGCTGGGAACTTCATAAGCAAGGTACCAGGCCAGTTCTTCCAAGGGGCCTCATTGGCTTTATAAAGTTAACCTTAGTTCCTTAAAGCTGTTCATATCTGAATACGTGTCTCTCAGGTGTGACGTTCCAGTCAAAGCTTTGGTAATATAACTAGTGTTTTTAATTGGTCCTTTTACAAGGAAAGCAGATTCTTATTGAACTTGTGCAAATAAACATACTGCCATGAAATATAAAAATAGTCACTGAGAGTTTTTAAATTCTGGAGGGATCAGGTAGAGAGAAAGATAAAGTTTCAATTATGTTTATAAAGGCAGTCATTTACTAAACTGTTGTCAGCTTAAGAGGAAAAGCTTAAAAACACTTCATCAGCAACATTTGAAACAAAAAGCCACAAAATCATCTTTAGTTTACTCAATGTTATGTAACTAATACCTGTTCTGCTGAAATCTAGTTCTTTACTAGCTTAGGAGTGATAAAACAGTGACTATAAATGACAAAAGACTTACAAATGTCAATGGCTAAAGATCTGATGACAGCTTACTGTAAGACAGTTGACATAAGGAAATTCTGATACTTCTGTAACACAAAACATTCAGCAACAAAGTTTAGCGTTATTCTTTTTGACAGTGCTTTCCAGGTAATTAAATATGTAATTATATATCAGATAAATAAGCTAAATCAGCCAAATACTTTTCCAATGAGAAAAAGTTCCTCTGACAATGTTCTGGGAGCTCTCTGAAAAATATAAGAGTTAACTAGAGGTAAAAGTACCTTTTTGAATTTAATTTTGGGAAGCTGTTAAAAGTTTTAAGGCACTTGCTTAAATAGCCTAAATAGAATTATAAGTCATTATGACACAATACTTATCTATTTTAACCAGAATGACAACAAAATACCTCAAAGGCGAATAAAGAAGGTTACACAGTTGTTAGCATAGTTTAGCTTTTAGTCCTTTTAATATTAAGATGTCATTTTCTTAAATACTCGGACAACTCATTGAGACGTTAAGCATGAGAAACCGCTTTGATAAAACAATTAGAAAATCTTTTGCAATCTTTCAACATTAGGAGAAACTAACAATTTAAGAAAACTTTGTCTTTTTAACTGAAAACAAAATTCTAATTTTGCTGTGTACTTGACATCGAGACTCATTTGCTTTAATTCACACAGCATGACTCTATCAATTTTTCCACAAGCTTTCTACAACGTTCCTTTTACATTCAGTGTTCTCCCTCTTTAAATAAATAGCTGTACTTTAGAACAATTACCTTCTTTTACCCTTAACAAAATGAATTTCCATTCTTTATATTTTCTCTTATTAAAACACACATTTTTTTTTTGCAAGGAGAGATGTTTTCTTCTTTAAGTAGCTTTAATTAGACCTTAAAACTATTAGGAACTTTAATTTTCAGTGAACACTGAGAAGTAGGCTACTGTAAACTGTTAAACTAACATTCTTTGGATTGACAAATTTATGAACACATTTTATAATTTCTGCAACCATGAGCTTTACAGTACAATCTCTCACTAAGCACATAATATACGTTCTTAACTTAGCAAAACTTTAAGGTTTTAGGTCACTACAAAGATTCTCAGGCTGTAGGTAGGTATACACACTGTAACACACAATTATGGTGTTCACTTGCCACACTTATTTAGTTCACTCATTCCTAACAACTATACTAGATTACTTACAAAACTTTTACTGAATATTAGAAAAAGTCAAGCCTCTAAGCATTTTATTCTTGAAAGATTTAGCAGATAATGTTGGATTCCCCTGAGGAAGGCGCCGCCCCAAATCACTCACCAAAGACGTTTCTTGATGCAACAAGCAAGAGGAATTTATTGAGAAGCCAACTAGTTGGGGTCCAAGTCAGCCCGTCGCAGCGGGTCTCAACGAGGACCCTGAGCACTTACAACTAAGTGGTTATATAGGATTTTCTGAGGCATTCAGCCCTAGAGGATTACCATGGTTACAGATTGTTTTGTAATAACAAGATAACAATACTACATAGCAAGATAACAATACTACAAAGGCAGTAATTTTTCAAACCTACGATTTCTGGGTTAGTGCCACGTCCTGGGGGTGTAGCAAGGTAGGGTCGGCATTTATGATTAACTAACCGAGAGGTTAGCGCTGCCAGCAGTCATGATTGATTAACTTGTTTTTCCAGAGGAGTTACCTGGTTTCAGTTGTTCCCTCTGAGTCATATATCAGAATGGCTTTTTGGGCTTCAAGATGGCTACTCTTAGGCTAACTTATTTCTCAGGGAGGTTGGGGTCCTACAATAACATCAACTTAAATGACTTTAGGTAAACTCAGGCAGCTGATAATCATAAGGACACGTCCATTTCAGTTCAACCTAAATTAGCATTAATGCTTAATATTTTCTGTTAGAATTTTCTGGAAGTTTTAGAATGCCCATTTTTCACAAGCACTTGTCTTTAAATCAATTCTATTAATACCATCCGGAGGTAAAAAAATCTTTTTCATTTACACACTTAGACAGACAAATATACAAATTGAGACATAACAACTACAGTTAGCAACACTTTACATATAAAAACATATACACAGACAGGCAAACAGATATTAAGATTTGAGCAACTGATATTTAATCGCTTTCTTCCTTTTTAGCTTCTTGTCTGTAGCGAGGTGAGAGAGGTGGGAGACAGAGGTCCTCTGGTGGATCTGAAAAGGAAGAAGGACTGGGCAGAGTAAGAGGCTGACAATCTTTGACTGGAGATTGGGCCAGGAGAACTTGAGTTGTTGAACACTTAACATAAAGGTCTTGGTGGGAGCAAAAAGTCCAAAAAGCCTGCACATATGGGATTTCACTCCACTCTCCACTCTGGTGGCAATAATTAGTCAAGTCGGTGAGGAGGCCAAAATCGAAAGTTCCCTCAGGGGGCCAGAGAGATTGGTTGTCCAAGGGATACTGAGGCCCGGCCTCAGAGCAAAGAAAGATCAGCTTCCATTTGCAAACTTTCCGGGACAAATATAGAGTAGCCAAATTAGAAATGAGACACCGCAGCAGGGTCTGAGCCTCTGCTTTCAAGTGCTGGTTCCCCATGTCTGTGTCACCCCGCAACTAATCCCGCTGTGAGAAGCACTCAGCATCTCAAGTGCACCAAGTCAGGGGAGATATCCTGGGAGCCTGGGTGAGAGATGTCTCCCCCACCACAGGGCCAGGGGTGGGCCTCATGCCTGTAGACATCCTGGGGCCTGGGATAGGGATGTCTCCCACACCACAGGGCCAGGGGCAGGCTGGAAGCCCACAGAGAGTGAGCCGAATGCCCTAACCTGGATGTACGTACGATTTTGAATGGATCAGGTGAAATGGAGTTAGCAAGGGAGACAGATCGGGGGAAACTGAGGGACACACTGGAAAATAGTCCACGCAGCAGAGAGCAGACTGAGGTCCTGGGTCAGAGAAGGAGGGGGCAGGGCCACCGGTGGCCGGTCGGGGCCCCACGCTCACACTCTTTCCCAGGATTTTGGCACCAAATGTAATATAAATTCTAGCCGAAGTAAGCAAGTAAAGAGAGGCAACAAAGGGCCAGGTAGTTTATTTGAGCGCAGTCTCCATGTGAGGTTTCCCAGTCTGCAGAAATGGAGGCTGGGGAAGTCACACCCAGCAGGGCAGGCAGCAAGTTTTTAAAGAAGGAAGGGGGAGGGAGAGCAAAGGTATACAGTGGCAAGAGGATTGGCTTGCCTAGGGTACGTGGGCATCTCTCATTGGCTTTTAGCTAGGTACTGGATAGTTACCTGGGAAGGGCTCTAGTTAGGAATGTTATCTGATCAGTTTCTGGAATGTTGTCAGACCAGAACCATTGGTCTCCTCACCTTGTTTGGTGAGGCCTGAGCTTGTCCAGCAGGCTCACCCCTTCCACTGGTGCCTCCAGCCTTACAGACATCAGTTCAACGTAAGTATATATATTAGTTCCCAGGAATTGATCTAGTTGGTCCACCAGGCCAAGGAGATCTTCTAGCAATGCTTAAAACTTTTCACCTCAGTACCCATGAGGGGAACAGTAACAAATTTCCCCCTTGTCCTAGTGGGACTTCTCTCAATGGAAACACCTTGGGATTCCTGGTGGACTCCCCAGAAGGCAAGGGGAAACTCTTAAGTCCTTCTTATATTGTTAAGTATGGGGAGAGGAAATCCTGGGGCAAAATACCTCTAAAAACTGAAATCAGTCAAAGGGAGAAATAAAGTTAAAATCCATTTATTGCTCACAAGCTGTAGTCTGGGGCTGTTTCTTTCAGGCTCCAGCATCAGACAAAAACCGGCCCTCCCCCTCATCTCTCAGGTACAGATAAGCCCTCCATTGCCCACATAATTACCCATAGATATGGAAATGAACTTCTCTACACCCCTGAGGAAAGATGTAAATGCTCTACAGCCATTCTTCTTTCCACCTCTAACTGCCTGTTGATATGCAGATGTACCAAAGCCAGGTGAGATATTCTGGAAATGTTACAATTTTACCCACAGGGAGGGAGACAAGAAAGTGGGTCCCAATGTTAAATAGATATGAGTGGGGTGGAAAGACAAAAAGGCCAGGTAAGTCCACTAAAAAGAGCCAGAGCTAATTAATTAAAGCTCAAAACAACAGTAGCAACTTGGCCTGGAATGTTTGAATATTCCTCAGATAAAGAAGGGTACCTGAACATAGCTTGTCTTTATTATGTTAATCATACAGGCCCAGCTTCTCTTTTTTTTACTTTACCTATATCCTATTTTTTCCCCCTCAAACTCCAATCAAATAGTCTGCAACCCAGGCAATCAATTCTGCAGGCAGGTGCAGCTGTAAACAACATAGCAAAATGCAGGAAGGATTTCATCCCAAAGACTGCATTTTAATACCCAGGAGGTCAAGAAGCTAGACTCTCAACTTACTCATTAGCAAACAGATAACCCTGCCCCCCTTGGAAGAAGGGCAGCCAGTCCTGATATGCTCCCAAACCCGGAAGCTGATATACTGGGAGGGGACTAAAGCAGTAAATTTCTTGTGTTAAGCTAATTTTGCAGAATTACCCAGAGGACTGATAAGAAATATAATGTCCTATCAAAGATACTTGAGACCACCTAACAAGTCTACACCTCCAGGTGCCAGCCACACTCCTAAAGAATCCTTAAAAAGGGAACCCCCAACCCCTGGGGCACTCCTCTCTCCAAGGCCACCGGCACCCTCAAAGTGCACAAGTTTTTAACTTAAAACTTTCTCTCTCCCACCTTCCAGGGCGTCCCTCCCTGCCGAGGCGGCCTGCACTTTCTCCCCGAATAACTCCAAACAAAACTTTTACTCTGCCTCACCGCCGTGTCCCCACCCCTCAACTCTCCAAGGCAGCTGTGGCCGGGACAGGGACTGAGGAAAACACGCAATGCTCTCCCAACACCAGGGCTTGTTCTGGGAAGTCTCTTGTAGTTCCTCCTCCTTCGCTTTCCCTTCTCTGGTATTGAGGGGTAATAGAGGAAGCGCCCTTGGTAACCAAGATTCCTCAGGTGAACTGGAGGCTTTATTACTATAAAAAAAAACAACTTAAACCTGGCAAAGCCAGTTTTCATCTGATCTAACTTTAATCCAGACAAAACAGCAAAATTTGATTATCTTCTGTTTGCCCTTAACCTGGTACAGGATGCGTCCCCCTAGTACCATAACCTTCAGTCCAGCAGGCTATTTGGGGGAATTCCAAGGGAGCTCGTCTGGTTCTCTTGCCCTGCTTCCCTAGGCCACAATTTGATTTTCCCATCTTTCAAGAAGTCCCTGTGTCTGAGATCCCTGTGTACTCAACTCCCCATAATGGAAGTTTCTTGCACACACCCCAAGATTTGCTTCATCCGTCTCTGGCCATTTTCCCCACAGGAGAATGGAAACGCGGATAGGAACTCCACACTCGCTTTGTATTTAGGACACATCTCAGCCACACACAGTTGACCTCTGAAAAATGCCAACCACCAAGGCAATACTTACCACCCAATTTTCCTACCTTGGCTCGTGCACGAGGTTGCCTGGTTTCCACCGTGCCTGCATTTTCTCCCTTGGTCATGAGATGTTCACTAGACCGGGCTGGAGGCAGCACCCACATGTGCTTGCCTTGCGGGGAACCCCTCCCTAGGAGGCAGGTCACCATTGGGTCCTAGGGAATGTCACTCAGAGAAGCCAGGAAATTTCTCCCTTTCCTCTTCTCCAATGGCTCCCTGCAGAAGCTAAGAGCTTTATCACTCACTTATATTCTATGACAATTTGTTCCTTTTGCACCAAGTTCTGTCATCACATATGCTCTATTTTATCTATTTTCCATTTAGAGGGAAACAGACTTTTACTCTGGGATCTGCAGTTCCTGACCTCCCACTGAGAACTCACCTCTCTGGCCTATCCTGCAGCCTGCAGGAGCACCATAACCTAGGGCCAAACCTCTTTCTCAGCACAACAGTTTTTTTCCTTCACAGCTGGCTCCCTCAGCCCAGGCAACCCGAGATGCTCCCCAGGGAACTTAATAACCTCCTGGTGTCCCCTGACAAGGCTCCCAGATCCCTAAGAGGTTTGCCTGGACAGACAACTCCCTTTTAATGACTCTAAGAGCTCAGTTAAAAACTGCCTCTCTTCCCTTCATCCACCTTTACCCTGGCACCTTTAGTTACAGCCAAAACCTTAACCAATTGAGACTCAGCAAATATAGAGACCAAAGTTTCCCTGAAAAATCTTTACCCTAGAATCCTATTCTCCCATTTCCTCTGCACTTGCACCTTCTTCACTGTTCTCCTCTCATAAGCCATTCTCCTTGCCTTTCTATTCCTCCTAGGCTCTAAGCTAGGAAGCTGAGACAGGACTTCCATCCTCCTCCCTGTTATTGGAGATGTCTGAAAACAGGCCTCACTTTTCAGGTCTTGGGATGCTGAGACCTCCTGTTGGATCTGGTCAAATGAGAACGCCACCCCAATTCACTCACGGAAGACGTCTCTTGATGCAGCAAGCAAGAGGGCTTTATTCAGGAACCAGCTAGCTGGGGTCCAAGTGTCAGCCTGATGCAGCGGGTTTCAACAAGGACCCCAAGCACTCAAAGCCAGGGGTTTATATAGCATGTTCAAAAAGACAGTATTTTTCCATAAGCACATAACTTTTCAAGCTGGTGTCACATCCTGGGAGTTTAGCAAGTTAAGATCATGTTAGGGTGGTTTAGCAAGATAAGCTTGGTATGTATGAGTAACCCAAACGAGGTTAACTGACTAAAGGTCACTGCTGTCGGTGCTCATCATTGATTAACTTGTTTTTCACGGCCTTTCTAAGTCACATATTCAGAAAATGGCTTCTGGGCTCTTAAGATGGCTGTGCTTAAGCTAACCTGCTCTCTTCACTAAATGCTTAGATTCTACATTTCCTCACTTTTCTTTTTAGACATTCCAATCACGGAATGCTCGTTTCTTCTTGCTGTGTAAGAGAATGACACTGTTGTCTCAGCATTAGTACCTGAACAGTACTCACTCTTTCTCTAACAAAGGATATTAGCCGGTTTAAAACACAGGGACCAAAAGTGAGAAGTAATACAAAAATAAGCAAGGGTCCTGCCAGGGTGGATATCAGGGTTGTAAGCCATGGGGATCGAGTAAACCAAGATTCAAATAGAGCTTGGCTAGCCTCTCATTCTCTCTTCCTTTGATCTAGTCTCTCTCTAAGTTTAGACATTGAATCCCTTACTATTCCGGAATGGTCTGCATAGAAGCAGCATTATTCTCTTACGGCTGCACACAATCGTCCTTCTTTTAAGAACAGTAGATCTAGTCCTCATCTATTCTGCAGCACTACTTCAGAAAGGGAAGTTAGGGACTCTTCAAGATTAGTAATAGATTGCTCTATAGTTCTCAAATCTTCATCAATAGCTGCCCTCAGTCCCTCATAGTGTTGGTTCCCTTGGATGATGGCGGCTGTCCCCGTTCCTACTCCAGCTGCGACTCCTACTCCCAACAACACGGCTAAAGTCAGCGAGACTGGTTCTCTTCTAAATCTCTGTCTGGGTTCAAATTCTGTTACAAATGAGAGATCATCATGATACATCAGCCTAGGCACTAGCTGGACATTAATACAGAAATCACAGGAGGAATTGAAGGCGGAGGTGGAGACACCGGGGTCAGTCCAGTATTACAAGCCCACCATCCCTCAGGAGGAGGGACTAGATACCTGTTTTCACCCGAGGAGGCTATGGGTATGGTCTCATTACACAAATTCTTATGAGTGGGAGGAACTGTGCCTAGACATTTCCCTTTTCCAGTCACTTTGGTCAGAGTCAGCGTCTTGTGGCTGTCCCAACTACAAATCTCATGGCTGATTGTATTGTTAAAACTGCCCAACAACCCCAATCCTTCATAATAAGGAGGTCCAGAGGAAAAACATAACCAACAGGATTCAGTAGTATTAGGGTTGGTGGTGTTTAGAACCCGGAAAGCCCCCTCGAGAAGGTTGAGGAGGTGTTGTCCGGTGCCAGGAAATGGGGCTACTTGGCCAGGGGTGGGGGCGGCAGAAATGGTGGCAGAGTCCACTGGTAGGACTAGGGTCTGCTTTGGGAGATGCGGCTGATCTCTTAGGACAGAATTGGGTCCTACTGGGGCAGCTGGAAGGGTCTCTATCTTAAGCCTGAGCATAAACAAGACTCCATTATCATATCCATTCTGGTAAAGTTGTAGTCCCCACATAAACCCTATCTCCCAGTTTGTCACCTTTTTTCCTGCATCTGTAAAGGGGATGTCAATTAAGTTGCAAGTGGGATTAGTCATGCATTGGGTGCGAGTGGTGTTCCATTGGACTTTTATAAGGCCTGGAGGAGACTTTCCTGTTAGCCAATAGCATGTCCCAGTCTGCTCACAACCCCAATTTTTGCAGAAAAAGTCTGTCTTCCCACCACACTGTGAGACCTTGGCACGATCGGTTGAGGGGGCTGGGCATACATAGAAGCAGGTATCTTGGAGTTCTTTCATAGAAGCCTGAGAACCACATCCTCGCCTCCCTATTCTACCTCCGTGCCAAGGGTTTTGTTTGAAGAGAGTACATATGTCTACAGTGAGGGTAGGCCACCAAGTCCCCCTTGGATGCTGTTCTGTTAACTGGACTACTACTTGGTGAGAAGCTGGGGTAATGATTTGCCATGTCAGTAACCTGGGTTCATGGGGGTTAGTGTTCTGGTGGGTTGGAAGTAGCAGGAGCATCAGAATCACTAATAACATAGTTCTTTCTACACAAGCGAAGCTTAAGGGGGTTATCAGTCTGAGTTACTTGCCAATCCGAGTCCGGCTGGGGCACTTTCTTCAGATGTGAAGCGTGTACCCAGGAGGAGATGCCATCCACTTTCACGGCTGTGGGAGTGGTCAAGAGGACGATGAAGGGTCCTTTCCACTGAGGCTCAAGGTTTCCTGTTCAGTGTCGTCTTATGTAGACGGGGTTTCCCACCTGGAACTGATAAGGCACTGACAGGTCCTCTGGCTGATAGGCTTCCCGGATGGTGGCCCACACTCCTCTCTGTACAACTTCTAGGACCCATAACTTTTCAAGCAGAAACTTATTAGTTACACATTCGGGGGATGTATGGAGGTGAGCCGACTCAAGCGGAGCCGGGGCCCCAAACATTATCTCAAAGGGTGTTAGCCCAAAGTGGCCAGGAGTGTTTTGGACTTGAAATAAAGTGAAGGGAAGGAGGACCAACTAATCACACAAACCAGTCTCTATGGATAATTTAGTCAAGGTCTCTTTTAGAGTTCTATTCATCCTTTCTACCTGTCCTGAGCTCTGGGGCCTGTATGCACAATGCAGTTTCCAATCTGTCCCCAGGATCTTGGCCAATCCCTGACTTACTTGGGCAACGAAGGCAGGACCATTATCGGAACTGATTACCTTGGGGATTCCGAACCTTGGAAATATTTCTTCAAGTATCTTTTTGGATACTGTCTGGGTTGTCTCGGTCTTGGTGGGGAAAGCCTCTGTCTATCCTGAAAAAGTATCTAAAAAAACTAAAAGGTACTTATGTCCGTACTTAGCAGGCTTAATTTCAGTGAAGTCAACTTCCCAGTAAGCTCCCGGTCGATCTCTGCGAAGCCTTTTTCCGCATATCACTTGATGTTTATTCACATTTACTAATTGGCAAGGAACACAATTCTTCACCACCTCGTCTGCCATTTTTTCCAAACCAATGATATGATAAGGGGAGTGTTGAACCAGGGCTTTTAGGTTCTTGGCCCCTAAATGTGTCAATTGATGTAGTTGCCTCAAATATTCTCCTGCCTCTTTCTGGGGCAGAATATTTTTCCCATTTCCTGACATATGTTCCAAGGGGTGAAGATTTTTGGAACCCCAGCTTGTCCATCCGAGCGAAATCCTCGGGTGTATACTGGAAGCTCTTAATACATGTTGCTTCCGGGTACACCTGGAGGGGTAAGATGTTCATTCTCTGAGCTGCTTGTTTTGCGGCTTGGTCTGCCCTCCGGTTTCCTTGAGCTATTGGAGAGTCATCTTTCTGATGTCCAGGGCAATGTATTATTGCTACTTCCTTAGGCCTATGGATGGCTTCCAACAAATCTAAAATTTCCTGTTTGTTTTTAACATCTTTCCCGGCAAAAGTTAATAGCCCTCTTTGTCTATAAATAGCCCCGTGTATATGAGCGGTGGCAAAAGCATATCGGCTGTCAGTGTAGACATTAAGTCTCTTACCTTCTGCCATCCTTAGAGCCTGAGTCAGGGCGACGAGTTCTGCTCACTGTGCAGAAGTGCCCGTTGGGAGTCCGCTGGCCCACACGATCCAGTCATCATCCACTACTGCTGCTCCCGCTATCCTCTTACCTCCCATGATGTAACTGCTCTCATCTGTGTACCAAGTCAGTAGTCCCGGTCCTTCTAGGGGCTGATCTCATAAGTCCCAGCAGGTCCCTGTCTCCTCAGCCAGGATTTCCTGGCAGGTATGGAGTACTTCTTTCCCCGGATCAGGAAGCAGAGAAGCCGGGTTTAGGATGGTGGGCGGGGCAAATTCCACATGATTGCGATTTAGGAGCAAGGTTTGGTAGTGAGTCATTCTGGCATTCGACATCCATCTTTCGGGTGGTTGCCGAATTACGCTTTCCAGCGCATGTGGAGCAACCACAATGAGCTTTTGCCCCAGCATTAGTTTGTCAGAATCCTTAACCAAGAGGGCCATGGCCGCCATGACTCTCAAACAGGCAGGCCATCCGCTACTCACTGGGTCCAATTTCTTTGACAAGTAGGCGACAGGTCTCTTTCAAGGTCCCCATTGTTGGGTCAACACTCCTCGAGCCACTCCACTCCGTTCATCCACAAAAAGGACAAACGGCTTAGTCACATCTGGCAATGCCAGAGCGGGTGCCGACAGGAGGGCCCTCTTAATATCATCAAAGGCCTGCTGTTGTTCAGGTCCCCAAACAAACGGGGCCGCTCCTTTGGTTAGGGGATATAGAGGGGCGGCTAAGGTGGCATATCTGGGTATCCACAGTCTACAAAACTCTGCCATCCCCAGAAACTCGCGAACCTGGCGTGGAGTAGTGGGAACCGGGATCTGCGTCACAGTCTGCTTTCGAGCTTCAGTAAGCCACCTTTTCCCCTCTCTCAGGGAATATCCCAAATAAGTCACTTGTTGTTGACAGATCTGTGCCTTTTTGGCAGATGCCCTATACCCCAATTTAGCAAGTTCACTCAAAAGGGCTCCAGTGGCCTCTTGGCAGGCTTTCCGAGTAGGGGCTGCTATTAATAAGTCATCGACATATTGTAACAAAGTTACCTGTGGGTTGGAGGCTTGGTAAAAGGCGAAGTCCTGATGTAAAGCCTCGTCGAAGAGGGTGGGCGAATTCTTGAATCCTTGTGGCAAGCGAGTCCAGGTCAATTGCCCAGTAGTTCCTGTGGAGGGGTCTTTCCACTCAAAAGCAAACAGCGGTTGGCTATTCTGGTGTAGGCGCAAATAAAAGAAGGCGTCTTTTAAATATAAGACTGTATACCAGGTGTTTTCCGGGGCCAGAGAGCTTAGCAGGTTATAAGGGTTCGGCACAGTGGGATGAATGTCCTGTATCCTCTTATTAACTTCTCTTAAATCTTGCACTGGTCAATAATCTCCTGTTCCCGCTTTCTTTACACGCAGCAAGGGAGTGTTCCATGGGGATTTACATTTTACTAATATCCCCTGCTCTATGAGCCTCTGGATATGGGGCCTAATTCCATCTCTGGCTTCTTTACTCATTGGATATTGTCTCACAGTTACTGGTAAGGCTGAAGCTTTCAATTCTATGACCACAGGGGGCTGGTTCACAGCAAGCCCCATACCCGCCATCTCCGCCCAGGCCCCTGGAAACTGGTTAAGCCACCCCTGACTAACTCAGGAGGGTTCTGGTTCCTTAAAAAGGTGGTACTCGTCTTCTAATCTTATGGTCAGGATACTTAGGCCCAAAGGTTTTTTCTCCCGATTAGTCACTCGAGTGTCTTCAGCCTGAAAGGATATTTAGGCCCCAACTTTTGTCAAGATGTCTCTTCCTAACAGGGGTGTGGGGCATTCCGGTATGACAAGGAATGAGTGGTTTACTCATCCCACTCCTAAGTCTACTGTTCTTAGGGTAGTCCACGCATATTGTTTCTGGCCCGTAGCCCCAAGCACCCAAGACTTTTTGCCAGAGAGGGGGCCCTTAGCTTGGGTCAGTACAGAATGTTGAGCACCAGTGTCCACCAGAAACTCAACGGGTTGCCCCTCCACCTTCAGGGTTACCGTGGGCTCAGGGAGGGGCTCCTAGCCCCGTCTTCCCTAATCTTCATCCTTTAGCAGAGACACCTTCTTCGGAGGTCCCCGCGGTGGCTTCTTAGCGCATTCTTACTCCCAATGCCCCTTTTCTTTGCAGTATGCACATTGGTCCTTCTCTAAAGGGATCCAGTTGCCCAGGTTCTCTGCCTTCCTAATTCTGCCACTAGAGGGTGGGCATCCCTTACCTTCTACTACTGCGGCCAAGATCCTTGTTAAATTCTTCTCATGCTTCCTATCTCTTTTTTCCTCTTTACTTTCTCTTTCCTTCTCTTTCCTTAACTCTTTCTCTTCCTCAGTCTCCCTCTTGTGATAAACTTTCTCAGCCTCTTTTACTAAATCTTTCAATGATAAATCCTGTAGGCCCTCTAATCTCTGAAGCTTCTTTCTAATGTTGGGTGCTGACTGTCCGATAAAAGCAGGGGCCACTGATGCACTGTGCTCCTCAGAAGTGGGATCAAAGGGAGTATACCGCCTGAAGGCTTCCATCAAGCGTTCTAAGAACACTGCGGGTGCCTCAGTGGCTCCCTGACTGACCTCTCTTACCTTGGCCAAATTGGTGGGGTGTCTTGTGGCCCCACGGAGACCCGCCACCAGAGCCTGGCAATAGATGGTTAGTCGCTCCCTACCTTCTGGAGAATTAAAGTCCCAGTTGGGTCTGGTCAACGGGAACCCCCTCTCTATGTCATGAGGGAGTTGCAATGGTCGTCCGTTGGTTCCAGGCACGTTCTTTCGTGCCTCCAGGAGGATCCTCTCTCTCTCTTCCGTGGTGAAGAGCACCTGCAAAAGCTGCTGACAGTCATCCCAAGTGGGCTGGTGAGAAAACATCAGGGACTCTATCAGCCCAGTTAGTCTTTGTGGTTCCTCTGAAAAGGGAGGGTGGTTAGCTTTCCAATTATATAAATTGGCAGAGGAAAACGGCCAATATTGCAGAGGTTGGAAAGGCAGGTCCCCCTCTTCCCCGAGGATGGGAACTCCATAAGACCAGAGAGGAAAAATACCCGGTGGGTCCAAGGTGGCCCCTCGGCGGCGCCAAGTTCCCTGGGCAGGTCCCAGAGCTGGCCCCACTGCCTCAGCATCAGGGACTGAGGGTGCTGGGGGCTCCGGGGCTGGCGGTGCCGGTGCCAGAGGTGCCGTAGGGGCAGGAGGGTAAGGAGGGGGATCATCAACCATAAGCAAATCTTGAGTGTCAGGGTGAACTTTAGTAGTTTCTTTTTCCTTGCTCTGAGGTTGGGTCTGGGCAGCTAAAACTCGAGGGCCCATTTTCTTTTGCACCTAGGGCTTTACCCAGGGCGGTGGGTTCTCCACCAACTCTTGCCAGACTAAAATGTAGGGTTGCTGATCTGGGTGTCCTTGAGACGAATCCTGGAAGACAACAGCTTTTACTGCTAATAAAGTGGAAAGATCAAAGGTCCCCTCCGGGGGCCACCCAACATTGAAGGTGGGCCACTCGGAGATGCAGAAGGTCTGCCAAGGTCTTTTCTTAACTTCTACTGACAAATTATGTGCCCTTGTCCTTACTTCTGTCCAATGATCTAATGTCAGACTAAGTGGGGTCGTCACCATCTGTCCCATTGTCAGTGTAACAATTATTAGACACGTGAAAGACACAAAAAACAGAGACACACACAGATTAGACACACAGCGGCCGCTTTTTGTTTTCTTCAGATTTTTGACCAAAAACCGAAAAGAATCGGTGGGTTGATACTCTTGGTGCCCTAAAATCAACCCTATCTCATCAGATTCACCTTGCCGGAAAAACAGGTGAGAGGCCACCAGGCGTCCCTGGCCCTCCAATCTCTCCGAGGTGTCCCCAGGGTTGCAGCCTGCGGTGCTCTGAGTACGTCTACCGACCGCGGTCTCGACCCCTTTACGGGATCGGGACGACTGCCAGACAGAGGGGTACCCCTTTCAGAATTCTGACCGGTCTCACTGAAAAACAAAAGACAGAACACAGACAATCCAAGGCGCCACTAACCTCTCCTCTCCCTCCAAGGGCGACTTCGGGAGTGAAGCAGGGTGAGCGCTTGATCCCAGATGAGCCCCCAAATATGTTGGATCTGGTCAAATGAGAACACCACCCCAATTCATTCACGGAAGACGTCTCTTGATGCAACAAGGAAGAGGGCTTTATTCAGGAACCAGCTAGCTGGGGTCCAAGTGTCAGCCCGATGCAGCGGGTTTCAACAAGGACCCCGAGCACTCAAAGCCAGGGGTTTATATAGCATGTTCAAAAAGAAAGTATTTTTCCATAAGCACATAACTTTTCAGGCTGGTGTCACATCCTAGGAGTTTAGCAAGATAAGATCATGTTAGGGTGATTTAGCAAGATAAGCTTGGTATGTATGAGTAACCCAAATGATGTAAACTGACTAAAGGTCATTGCTGTTGGTGCTCATCATTGATTAACTTGTTTTTCACAGCCTTTCTAAGTCACATATTCAGAAAATGGCTTCTGGGCTCTTAAGATGGCTGTGCTTAAGCTAACCTGCTGTCTTCACTAAATGCTTAGATTCTACACTCCGGGATAGACCTTGGGACTCTGGGCTCTCTGACCTATTTATTCCTTCCTAGATTGGCAACCAGGAATACTCGATACAATACTCTTTTTGCTCCCCTCGTTACTTGACTTCTGCCCCAGTCAGTTTAAAACTGATCTTAGCTGAGCAAAAGGTTATTAAAGAAGCTTGTAAGTTTACTAGGAGCCTTCACTTGTCTGATACAGTTTCCCATTGAACTGCTGTTGCTCAGTAGGCCCAAATGGAAATTATAAGAACAAAGATGCTCTGTGGGAAAAAAAAAACTCTTCCTCCAGTGCATAAAGACATGCTAGTATAACAGTTTAAAACAGCTTAATGTCTTAGTAATATGTGTGTATACTTGAAAAGACAAAAATCTTAATATTAAAAGAGCTAAGTTTTGTTAACAACTGTGTGGCCCTCTGTATCTGCCTTTAATATCATTTACTGTAACTTTGGTTAAATGAATTAATTAAATATTGTTTATTTTAAAAACTTATAATCTTATTTAAGCAAGTGGATTAGAAACTTCTTTTGACAACTCCCGAACACCAAATTAAAAAAAGGTGCTTTTACCTCTACTTAACTCTGATATTTTCCAGAGGGGCCCTGAAACATGTCAGGAATTTCTTTCTCCTCATTGGGGAAAAATATTTAGCTAATTTGGCTTATACATTAAGCATGCAATTACTTGGGAACCATTGTCAAATGAATGATGCTAAGTTTTATATTATTAAACTGTTACCCATTACAGATATAACTAAATTTTCTTGTCAATTGTATAATCATAGGCATTTCTGTCTATCATTTATAATTGCTGTTTTATTCCAAAACTAATGAAAAACCTAGATTCAAGCAAAGCAAAAATTGATTACCTAAAACTGAATAAACTAAAAAGATGTTAATTTTCATAACATTTTGTTTCAAATATCATTAATCTCTTAAAAACTTATTTTAAACTGTTTCTCTTAAGCTAGCTTACAACAGTTCAGTAAACTATACCTTTATAAGCAGAATTGAAACACTTATGTTTCTCTACCTGATCCCTCCAGAATTTATAAACTCTCAGTGACTATTTTCTTACTTTATGGCAATACTTTTATTTTCATAAGTCCAATAAGAATCTGCTTTCCTTGTAACAGGACCAATTGAAAACACTGGTTGTTACCAAGGCTTTGACTGGAAACTCATATTTGAGACATCCATAGACTCAGATATGAACAGACAGCTTTAAGGAACTATGATTGACTTTATAGAGTCAACAGAGGCCCTTGGAAGAATTAGCCTGGTACCTTGCTTACAGGGTTCCAGCAGCCTTACCAAGTGAGTAAAGAAGGTCACTTCCTGGTAAGTGCAGGAACCTCAAATATCTTGGGGACCTCGAGAAGAGGAATTCACCCAAATCTACAGGTACTGCAGGCAAAACCTGTTGGCAAGACTGGCTTTGCTCTCCTGGCCTCAAGAGGCCCTTAACAGCTCAATCTGAAATTCTTTATAAAAGATTCCAGCAGAGCACATTTAAAAGATCCTATGTGATCAACTGCTCTTCTTGCTGCACTTATGCAAATAATCATGCCAGATGTTCTAAAACTAAACTTATTTTCTTAATATAGCTACCTCTAATAAAAATGAGGGTGACTTTAGAGAGAAAATAATTGTTTCAATACTGCAGCCTTACCTATACTAGATTCTAATACTAGTCATTATGAAATAAACTAAATCCTAAATTCTAGTTTCCTCAAATACCTATGACTCTCCAAATGTTTCCAATTTTCTCACATCTCAATTAAAAATCTTACAATTCTTAATCTTCATCTTTAGCCTTGCACTCTATTTTTTTTTAATTTTTTAATTTTGGTATCATTACTCTACAATTATATGAGGAACATTATGTTTACTAGACTCCCCCCACATTCCTCCACTGCAGTCATTGTCCATAAACATACTAAGATGTTGTAGAATCACTATTTGTCTTCTCTGTGTTGTACAGCCCTCTCTGTGCCTCCACCCCCACATTATACATGCTAATCATAATGTGCCTTTTCTTTCCTCCCCTTCTTTATCCCTCCCTTCCCACCCATCCTCCCCAGTCCTTTTCTATTTGGTAACTGTTAGTCCATTCTTGGGTTTTGTGAGTCTGATGCTGTTTTGCTCCATCAGTTTTTCCTTTGCTCTTACACTCCACAGATGAGTGAAACCATTTGATACTTGTCTTTTTCTGCCTGACTTATTTCACTGAACATAATATCCTCTAGCTCCATCCATGTTGTTGCAAATGGTAGGATTTGTTTTCTTCTTATGGCTGAATAATATTGCATTGTGTATATATACCGCATCTTCTTTATCCATTCATCTACTGATGGACACGTAAGTTGCTTCCATTTCTTGGCTATTGTGAATAGTGCTGTGATAAACATAGGGGTGCATCTGTCTTTTTCAAACTGGGCTGCTGCATTCTTAGGGTAAATTCTGAGGAGTAGAATTCCTGTGTCAAATGGTATTTCTATTTCGAGCTTTTCGAGGAACCTCCATATTGCTTTCCACAATGGTTGAACTAACTGACATTCCCACCAGCAGTGTAGGAGGGTGGCCCTTTCTCCACATCCTCACCAACATTTGTTGTTTGTCTTTTGGATGGTGGCGATCCTTACTGGTATGAGGTGATATCTTACTGTGGTTTTAATTTGCATTTCTCTGATGACTAGTGATGTGTAGCATCTTTTCATGTGTCTGGTGGCCATCTGAATTTCTTCTTTGGAAAACTGTCCAGCTACTCTGACAATTTTTTTAATTGGATTATTTGCTTTTTGCTTGTTGAGGTGTGTGAGCTCTTTATATATTTTGGATGTCAACCCTTTATCAGATCTGTCATTTATGAATATATTCTCCCATACTGTAGAATGCCTTTTTGTTCTATTAGTGTTGTCCTTTGCTGTACAGAAGATTTTCAGTTTATTGTAGTCCCACTTGTTCATTTTTGCTTTTGTTTCCCTTGCCCAGGGAGATACGTTCATGAAGAAGTTGCTCATGTTGATGTCCAAGAGATTTTTGCCTATGTTTTTTTTTTTTTAAGAGTTTTATGGTTTCATGACTTACTTTCAGGTCTCTGATCCATTTCGAATTTACTTTTGAGTATGGGGTTAGACAGTGATCCTCTTACATGTAGCTGTCCAGTTTTGCCAAAACCAGCTGTTGAAGAGGCTGTCATTTCCCCATTGTATGTTCATGCCTCTTTTATCATATATTAACTGACCATATGTGTTTGGGTTAATATCTGGACTGTTCCACTGGTCTGTGGCTCTGTTCTTGTGCCAGTACCAAATTGTCTTCATTACTGTGGTTTTGTAGTAGAGCTTAAAGTTGGGAAGCGAGATCTCCCCTGCTTTCTTCTTCCTTCTCAGGATTGCTTTGGCTATTCATGCTCTTTTGTGGTTCCATATGAATTTTAAAACTATTTGTTCCAGGTCGTTGAAGAATGTTGTTGGTATTTTGATAGGGATTGCATTGAATCTGTAGATTGCTTTAGGCAGGATGGCCATTTTGAGAATATTAATTCTTCCTAGTTAAGAGCATGGGATGAGTTTCCATTTGTTATGTCCAGTTTAATTTCTCTTAAGAGTGTCCTGTAGTTTTCAGGGTATAGGTCTTTCACTTCCTTGGTTAGGTTTATTCACAGGCATTTTATTCTTTTTGATACAATTGTGTATGGAATTGTTTTCCTGATTTCTTTCTGTTAGTTCATTGTTAGTCTATAGGAAAGCAACAGATTTCTGTGTATCAATTTTGTATCCTACAACTTTGCTGAATTCCAATATTAGTTCTAGTAGTTTTGGAGTGGAGTTTTTAGGGTTTTTTTATGTACAATATCATGTCATCTGCAAATGGTGACAGTTTGACTTCTTCTTCATCAATCTGGATGTCTTTCTTGCATTACTTTGTTTTGTCTGATGGCCGTGGCTAGGACCACCAGTACAATGTTGAATAGCAGTGGGGAGAGTGGCATTCCTTTGTTGTTCCTGATCTTAGAGGAAGAGCTTTCAGCTTCTCACTGTTAAGTATGATGTTGGCTGTGGGTTTGTCATACATGGCCTTTATTCTGTTGAGGTTCTTGCCCTCTATTCCCATTTTGTTGAGAGTTTTATCATGAATGGATGTTGAATTTTATAGAATGCTTTTTCAGCATCTATGGAGATCATGTAGTTTTGTCCTTTTTTGTGTTGATATGGTGGATGATGTTGATGGATTTTCAAATGTTATACCATCCTTGCATCCCTGAGATGTA